AGCAGGTTCCCCCCCTCTGCTTTTTTGAATACAGTTTTAATCTTTTGATTAAGCTGTGAAGAAAAAATGACTTTTTTTTTTTTATATATAGTCACCATGTACTTTTCAGATATTTGTGTAGGATATAATGGGAACTTATGCAAGAAGATAAAGTAAGAAAATGGGTATAGTGGGAAGTTCTTTGAAACTTTAGGCAGGCTGAGAGACTTTAAAGGGCTTAAAAATGTGAACTTTAGTCCTCTATTGAACTAGTAAGCAGGAAGCAGTTAAAAATAGTTCTCTTTCTTTTCTTGTTATTTTCTATTCCGTTATCACTGCTAATCATTTACTCGTAATTGCCAGCTTGAGCCTTTGCGAAAGGTTTATTAGTCAGACGCTTCATCTATATATTTCTGTAAATGTTAGGTAGTTTAGCATGAGTTTATTCCTAACGCTTCATATTTTATGTTGTGTTTGAGGATGCCAAATGATTCTGCTTACGCGTGTGATACTACGTGGATTAATTGTTCTACTTTCTGTCCGTTTCATGCCCAGCATTTAATAGAAATTTAAATTACAGTGTACAGAAAAGGATTTTGAAGTTGTTTAACTAAATCCACTATTACATGTAAAGGTAGGAAAAAAATCTTTGCGTTTTAAAGCTATTTTGTTTAAGTAAGGACAAATCAGAATTAGTTCTCTCAGTGTTTCTAAACGTTAAAAGCAGGTCGTGATTTTAGTCTGAGTAAAATCACAGTAAGAGTTTTAGACCTGGTGAGCACCAGTGTCTCACAGCTTATTAAGAAACTGATTTCAAGCACTTAACTCTAAGAATTCCTCCGTCCAGAGGCCTTCCAGTTTTCTCCAAAGTAACATTTATACATCTTGAATAATTTAGAAAGGAATTTATAACATAGTAAGTTCAAAGACTGTTCTCATTTCAGATGGATCTATTTTGAGAGGAAGAATACAACTATTTTGCACATAAAACATGAAAGCCTTAATTTCTGTCTGTTTTGATGTGGTTCTTTCAAAGCAGACCAGCACTTCTAATCATAGGGTAAAATGTTGTGGCATACTTTTATTGTAAAATTTTGTAAATTTTCAGTTTCTTGAAAATCCTGATGATTAGACACTAGAATATTCTCTTGATTGGTGTGTTTAACATAAAATTACGTCTTGTCACTCTCTCTGCCAGCTTGTGTGCTTTCCTGCTCCTGCCCATTCTGGATGGGCTGGGAACTGGATGTTTTCCTGGTAGAGAATGATCTGAACTGATGCAAAGGCAATGCACAAGTGTTTACAGGTGATACGATAAATCAAAATCTGATGGTAAAATACTGACATTTCTGTTAGGAGCTTGGTAGCTACCGACAGGGACTAGCTCCTTCTGTTGAACTGAGAGTGCTGAAAACCAGCGATAACTTCTGGTAGCGTATGAAATGCTGAAAAATGAGGACAACTAAACTTGGTCCTAAGGCTTAGTGGTTTTTATTTTTGTTCTGGAAGGCCAAGTTAAAATTTAAGTGGTCACTCTGCCGTGGGGAGTATTGGCTATGGGACAGAAGGGGCTGTGGAGTTACTGACCAGCAGTCATAGAATCATAAAATTGTCGGGATTGGAAGGGACCTCAAAGATGATCCAGTTCCAACCCCCTGTCATGGGCAGGGACATCCCCCACTAGCTCAGGCTGCCCAGAGCCCCATCCAGCCTGGCCTGAAAAACTCCCAGGGATGGGGCTGCCACCCCCTCTCTGGGCAACCTGTGCCAGGGTCTCCCCACCCTCATGGGGAAGAACTTCTTCCCAACGTCCCACCTGAACCGACCCATCTCAACCTGAATTGATCCACCCGTGAACGCTCATTCAGTATCTGGATTCGTTTCTTTTCCTGACCTCACTCACTGAGTATTGATCCAGCACATCTTGATTGTTTTTTCGTTCTGAATCATTCCATAACGATACAGAATTACTAACTTCTGTGTCAGTACAATATAATATTGCGTATGACATTGTTATGTATTTGCCACTTGTCCTAACTGAAGGGTGTTTGGGTTGCTGCAAATAACAAATTTTCGCTACCTTTACTCTCTGAAAGATGCTCTTTTAAGCTCTTTGACAAACTTTGTGGGTTCATATGTACTGTCTTTTATCTCCTGAATAAGAGCAGGCCTCCTTTTTTTTGTTTTCCTCCCCCTCCCAGTACCTCATTCAGCTTGTGTGATTTATTCAAATTACCAGAGCGTTGCTGTCATCTTAAAGCTGTGCTCCATGTTTCTTAAGTTCAAAGTGGTTTAATTCTTTGTAAACATTGCGGGAAGCGATTTATCACAGAGGATGTCTACAAGATCTGTTTCCTTCTACTTAAAACCAAGCCAAATTCTAACTAATAACTGTTCAGTTCTCCTTTCTAGACCTGTTTTCTGGAGGCACTGTAGTGGTGTTCACTCAGCACGAATTTAAATTTACTCTTTTCCCGGTATGTGCTGTACGCAGAGGATGCTGCTTTCTTCCAAATCCTCTTCTGGCCTGGTGCCCAGCTGTGGTTGTAAGAATGACTGAGTCTTCAGACTGAGTCTTTTTTATTTTCATCACAGAAGCCACTCTGAAACTATTACCATAACACAGTTAAGGCACTCTAGTTCATCTGTAGGGCAATAACTGAACAAAACCTCATTTCCCCCCTGCCCCAATATTTTGTAGTGTTACCTTTTCAATAAAATATTTTAAGATTTTTTATCTTGTTTTCTGCCTCACCTAGCAAAGATGTTGTTTGCTCTGTTGGGCAAACAGCAGCATAAGGAAGCATCATGTCATTTTTTTGGGAAGTAGCCGAGTTTTCGCTCTAGTTTTCATTGCCGCTTCACCAAAAGACCACCCCATCTCCAAGCTGTCCCTCCCCAGTTTTCTCAGTGGTGCAGATGTCCATTTGTTCACTTTGTAAATTTTTAGGTTAAAGGCCTCATTCTATCAGTTTCTGAAACTTGATGAACAGAAAGCACTCTTTGGTCCTTGAGTGCTTACTAAAACCCCTAAATAAAGCTCATTGTAGGGTCACACATTTCTTGAAGCTGCCCGTGTTTGAAAATGTGTTCACCCCCAGGCAGCACAGTAACATAAAAACATTGCTTCACTGTTAGCCTGGACCAGGAATTAATTTTTGAAATGAATGTGTGTTCCTTTTCACTTGCTCTTCTTGTCTTTTGCTAGCGAGTTTCATTTTGCTTTGTGAGATGAGAAGGTATCTCTGGTGCCATTGGTTCTGAGACCAAGCCTCATTGAAAACACAAAGCAACGCAGCTTTTTTCCATCTGTAGGTTGTTAGAGCTTAATCAGAGACTTTCTGTATGATAGAACGTTGCAAATCATCACTGAGATTTCCTGATGGATCAGTAATTTTTAGTACTAGACATATTTTATTACTACCTACTAATTATTTTCTCTGTGAGTCTAGATTAGTCAAGTCCAGACCAAAAGCAAAATGAGTTGGGGGTTAGACTAGATGATCTTTGGAGATCCCTTCCAACCCTTGACATTCTGTAATTCTCTAAAACTTGTGTACAGGAGTTGAATCTTGTGACACATTTTCTTCTGTTAATTTGCTTGTGCTGCATGGCTCTGCTTGCTAATTTATAGGTAGACAAAGATTGCTGAAATAGTTTGAAGGGTGACCTGTTGTGGTAGGTTTTCTGTTCAATGATTGTCTTTGGAAAGGTGAAATTAAGTGAGCATGACTTTAGCATAGCACATATTAGGATAGCATCACATTTTATGACGAATTCATGCAGAACACCACGAAATTCCAAAAGGTTCACATAATTTTTTTGCGACTGAATATCTTAATTTTAACTGATTATCTTAAAATATGGCAAAACTGAAGGAGAAAAATATCGACTTAGCCAAGGTTGCACTGTTAAGTTACCCAATCCAGGACTAGATGCCATCTATTTGAACTTGGTGGCCACTGGTCTGTCTGGTGGACCTTGGTGACTGTGGTTGTCTTCTGGTTTAGGCAGGAGAGGTGTGAGATCAGACCGCTTGGATCGGTTTGGCAGAATGAGCAAACATGGGAAGTTGATGGAGTTGATATTGTGTAGCCCTCACTGGAGTTCGTAGGAGAAAAATTGTTCCCGTCGAACACATCCATTGGAAGAAAGCAGCTCGGGCATAACATACATACCTGACTTTGTGCTTTTTTTTTTTTTGGGTATGGGACGGGTGTGCCTTCTTGCCACAAGTTTCTATTAACATTTAACTTCAAATAATTAAATACCTGGTTTTTGTTTGTCTCCTTCCAAAGCAGATTTGCTCCTTCATTTGGATAATTTTTAATGTGTGTCTCCCTGTTAATGCCAATTAATAGCAGAACATATGCTATTCTTTTTTTTTTTTCAGTTGGTATTTTAAAAAGAACATGTTTGATATGAGAACAGTACTGAATTACTCTTTTTTTTTTCTTAGTTGCTTAAAATAACATGGGTTTGAGGGACTTCTTCAAGTGGCTCTTGGGTTTCTTGACTTTTGGATATATTTTAATCCCAAACATTCCAATATGTCTCCTTTTCTGCTTTTGTTACTGCACTTTTAAATAAAAAATCTTCCACTTTGCAGGCAGTGCTCAGAGTGTGACCAGGCAGGCAGCAGTGACATGGAGGCTGATATTGCCATGGAAACCTTGCCAGATGGGACCAAAAGATCAAGGAGGCAGATTAAGGAACCAGTGAAATTTGTTCCGCAGGACGTGCCACCGGAACCCAAGAAAATTCCAATCAGAAACACGGTAAGTGATGGTTGAGTTGTTGTTATGTAGCTCATACTCATAACGGGTTTTTTTGTGATATGTTTTGGACATTTTGAATTGCAGGACTTCGATTTGGTTGGTGTTCTCATTATAAATTTCTCTATTTAATGCTTTTTCACTTGTGTTAATATATCGTGTTGCTGAAGTAAGAGGCTGGGAAGCACAGTGCTGAACTGAAGAGCCATACAGGATTTTCCTCTACTCATTATAAATTTCTCTATTTAATGCTTTTTTACTTGTGTTAAATATATCGTGTTGCTGAAGTAAGAGACTGGGAAGCACAGTGCTGAACTGAAGAGCCGTACAGGATTTTCCTCTTATCTGGGTCACAAAGTCCTCCGTTAATTGCAGAAAAAGGGAGAATTCAGTTTGCATTTACACTTAGCCTTTACAACTGATCTTCACCTTAGTGGTAAGGACACTTCTTGTATGCTAAGATTTAAATATATCCAGTTGCCAGTTCACAGAACTGTAGAGTGTTTTGCATTGGAGGGGACCTTTAAAGGTCATTGAGTCCAGCCCTCCTGCAGTGAGCAGGGACATCTTCAACTAGATCAGACTGTTCAGAGCCCTGTCCAACCTGATCTTGAAGCCCTGGAATGGGGCTTCCACCACCTCGCTGGGCAACCTGTTCTGGTGTTTCACCACCCTCATTGTATTCTTCCGTACATCTAGTCTAAATCTACCCACTTTTAGTTTAAAACCGTTGCTCGTTGTCTTGTCACAACAGACTCTGCTAAAAAGGTTGTCTCTGTCCCCTTCCAGAATTAAAAGGCCACGTAAGGTCTCCTGGAGCCGTCTCCAGCCTGATCATCCCCAACCCTCTCAGTTTTTCTTCACAGGGGAGGTGCTCCAACCGTCCGATCGTTTTTGCAGCCCTCCTTTGGGCCTGCTCCAACAGGTCCCTGTCCTTGCTCCTCTGAGGAGCCCAAAGCTGAGCACAGAACTGCAGGTGAGGTCGCACGGGAGCAGAGCAGAGGGGCAGAACCACCCCCCTGCACCCGCTGGCCACGCTGCTTTCGAGGCAGCCCAGGGTGCCATTGGGTTTCGGGGCTGCGAGCGCACATTGCTGCCTCGTGTCCAGCTTTTTGTCCCCCAGTACCCCAAAGTCCTTCTGGGCAGGGCTGCTCACAATCCCTTCATCCCCCGGCGTGTATTGCTGATATGGTGACATTACAGATGTAAAACGTTTGATCATTTCCTCATGTACTGGCGACCTACTGAGTGACAGCACATTTTACAACTATCACAAACCCTATTATTTCAGTTTTGTCAGCTTCCCAGTCTTACTAGTCCTTGTATGTTTGCTCAGACTTTACTGGTGGAGAGTTTTTGGAGAAGAGAAAGAAAAGCTTTTGCTTCCTGCACTGATGAAACATTTAGAATCTCTCTTTTACTTGGAACTGCAGCCTTTTAATTAATCACTGTGCTCTAATCTTTAAAATTTCACTCTCTTGCTTGCTCATAAAACACGATTTTTCCTGTGGGATGTGTCATATCACCTACAAAATGTCCAGAAAAGTGTCAAAGGGCTTTTCGGTCTGGCTCAGGGAATGAGTAGTGTTCCCATTACCCTTTGAACATGAGTAGTAATTTAAACCAGTAGGTTATCTTCCAGTCTGTTACTTAGCATCAGGAAATACTTCAGCCCTCACGTCGTAGGGTTAGACATACTTCATCTCTCACGCAGCACAACTTTATTTTCCTCATAGAGTTTTCCAGAATTATTCTTGCACTAGCAGATCCCATACGTAGCTCTTCTGGGCATACACTGGTAGGATTAAGCAAATATCTTCCTGGACTAACGTTAAATGTTTGCTTGAATTACATTTCACTGTATGTGGACCTCAGCTTTGATTTATGTAAGGATTCCTTTTCCTGGTCTATAACCAAGAACTTAAAGAATGACTCAATCCAAACCGTTTAATTTAGCTCAAACTGTTAGGAGTGTGAGTAATCCAAAATTAAATTTTGTGAATAATTGAGAACCTCTCTGTAGGCGAGACAAACAATGACTTTTTTCCTTTTTTTTTTCATTGATACTTTTTCTGACATTTGTGTCCTCACTGCTCAGATCCTTTAAAACAGCTAAAAATAAAGAAGAAAAAATTAGTAGTATGAAAATTACTTCACACTCCTCTTTCCTCGGTGTTCTTTGTATCTCTGGACATGTTTTATTCCATCTAGTTTTGGAAGGAATTGGCAAGGCTGCTTCGCTAACAGTGTGTAATCAACAAGTGCAATTATAAGACTGATTAATTATGTATCTGTTGCTCTTAAGGGGATTTCCATTTGTTTTGCCTAAATTTAGCTTGAATTGATATAACTGAAAGAAGAATTTTTTTTGCCACATACCTGAGAGAACAGAACGAATCTTACGTGTTTGGTTTCATTGTTGTGGTTTATCATCGTTAACTCTTCATTACTTTGACAGAAATTGTGGGTAAGCCCCAATATTTTATTTTGATAAAGTTGCATTAATTAATTACTGATGACAATAATAGCTGGTATCTGTAAGACACTTTATACAAGTGTATATCGTAACTTACTGTATGAAAAACAAATATTTAGTACTAAATTGTGCTTTCAGAACTGATATTTTGCAGTCAGCTTGTCCTGCAGCTCCTATTTGGTGACACTGATTTCAGAGATGATAAAGGATACCCCTTTCCATGAAAAATCACTTTCTCCCTTATTTGTAGTATTTTTTTTTCTGAATTTCTATCTGCTTGGGTTGTACTATGAAAAGACCCTTTTAGAAGCATTTGTAATTTTACTGCTGTTTCTCATCCAGTCTGATTATGGATGTGTACTCAAGTCCTGCCGCTATTATTTTTCAATTTCTTCTTGTTATCCTTCAAAACACCTGAATTCATTGATGTCGTGGATTTTCCTTTCCTGGGCTAAATTGTTTTTTTTAAAGATAATAGTCGTGGATTTTTTCAGCTTTAAATGTAGCCTTACAACTTCCTTTTGTTTCGCACTACTGCAAGAAATAAGGACGTGTCATTTTAACACGAGGTGCGACGCAGTCCGTTTCTGCTCCTTCCTTTCCTTTGTGAACTGAACAGTTCTCTTCAGTTTCTCCTCACCTGGTGAGCACTTCCCCTTACGTCTGTGCCAGGACACTCTTAGCAGAGATTTAGAGTGGAATGCTCTGCATTATTTGGAATGAGGTGCGTTTTCTTCTGTCTTCAGTCTGCTTGTGCAAAATGCTGGGGTGGGAAGAGCTGTGAGGAATATTCATTTTCCAACTCATTGAGAGGAAAGAGAGACCGTTTCATGAAAACTCAGTTGTTTGTTTGTTTTTTTTCCTGGGGACTACGTTGTTCAAATCTTAATTCCTTCTGATCTTGGATCAGATCAATGATGGCCAAGGACTTGTGGCAACTGGAGCCCACTAGTGCTTCCGTATGGAGCCAGAAACTCTGTTTCCTGCTGTAATTTGGGAAAGTGTAAGAGAAGTAAGTGTGAGGCAGGTTACTCAGAGTCAGGACAGTGCTTCTGCCTTACACAGGTCTTGACATGAACTGTGTGTCAGAGCACTATTTGACATCCTAATGCTGTGTGAGCGTTTTAAACCAACCCCGTGAGTTCTGTCAAGTGTTTGCATCTCTTAACTTGCAAATGCAGGATCTTTGTACCAAGAAGAGCAGCTGTTTCTAAGAAAATGTGAGGATGGAAAGTGCTTGGACCGCGTTGTGCTGGAGAGAGCGCCTGTCGTATTGTGCATTAAATGTAGCAAAAATTTACAAGCAGACCTGTCTGATTTTAATCTTCCTAAGATTAATTAGTTTGATTAAATCTTCCTAAGAAAGACCGTGTCAGAGAATGTATGTAAATGCAGAAGTAAATTTAAAGCGAATAGAATCCTGCTCTGAGTCAGAGTTTATACAAATTAGAAATGAGTGTTAATAGCCAAGACGTTAGACCTTTAATCTGATGTATAATGGTTTTATTTGTGGGCAGAATTTAATTCGTTGTTCCTGGTTATACAATTCAAGCCATATGTAGTGATCTCTTAAAAAAATGGACTGAATTTCAATGGTTTAAACTGACTTTATTTAAAATCTCTAATCTTTATACTTCCAGTTGCCTATTTTTGTAAGCTTCACAAATGATGGTTTCCGCTGCTAGGTAACTTCAGAGACATGAATAGCTAATGATTTTCTAATGGGTAACAGAAATCAGTAGTTAACAGGCGCAAACTAGAGGCCCATAAACATTTTTTATATTTGTTACAAATCTGAAGATGTTTTTTAACATCTGCTTTTTGCAACCGCACAACAGTTTCACATTGGATAATTTTATTATAAAGATTAAAAGCGTACAGTTGTTTGGAAAAAAAATCTTTAAGGAGCTATGGACAGTGCTTTACAGCAGTAAATTGAGGGATTAATACTTTTCTTCTACTCACCTACATGTGCTCAGTTTTTCAGAGACTATGATCCTCATTTATAAAGAACAACTAACAAATTGTCAACATCATTTGCTTTCCTTCAATAAAAAAAGAACCCAGGTTATTGTCATTTGTCACTGCTAAAATAATTTGGTTGGTCTAATGTCATATTTTTGTAAAACCAGCCTATGAAAAACATGCATTTAAGGGAATTTCCATGAATTTCTTTACTGGAAAATTTCATGAATTGTGCTTTGGTGCTGTCGTCTGGAAGTAGAATGGAGCTTCTGTGCGAGATGTCCGACGACACCTGAGTCTTCTCAATCACTGTTGTGCACCCTGAGAGCTGGTAGGGCATGCTCTTTACTATCAGTCTCGTTGGTCCTTTGAAGTTAAGCGGTGTTGGTGCTGTTGAATACACCATCCTCCAACTAATACTGTCCGACCTTGGTATTAAAGGGTGGCATGTTCAGGTTTTTTGGTGTAAATTCCATTTTTGGTTCCCTTTTGTTGAAAAGGAAATATCTACCCAGTGTTCTAAAGGCGAAGAAGGCACTTTGGGAACTGGATAGTTTGTTGA